AGACCTATTTAAAATTTATTTATGGCCGTCATTTGTGCTCACCCAACCCTTAAAGAGAAACCCTTGAGTGCTTGAACGTTTTGAGAGAGAAAGGAAGCATTTCTTGACCTTGTGTGTGTCATTTAGCAAGAAGGAGGAGATTCTAGGCAAGAGGTAGCAAAGGAGGTTGCTATTCTGTGGATTTGAAGCTTAGATCATCAATCTAGAGGTATGATTTCGGCTTACTTTCTGTTTTGTGAAGTAAAATGGGATTTAGGGTTTCTTATGGACATTTTGGGTTGATTTGATGCCAAATAGTTCCCTTCTTGTGTTGAGGCTCTGGATCTGGATCCATAGAGGTCCAGAGAGCCTCACTCATCAAGCTTTATGTATAGCAATGGAGTTTATGACCTTGAGTTGTAATATTTAAGACAAAAACATCCTATATGGTCATATAGAGATTGTATGTGCATCAAGATAGTGACTTTACGTGCTAAATAAGCTTGGAAGGACTGGATCTATGGGTTAATGGACTGGATCTGACCTTATGAGCAAGTTTGAGTCATTACATGGCACGGACTCGCCGAGTCCGAAGAACAGACTCGACGAGTAGTATGAATATTGCCTGACCACACAGCGAGTGGTCTTGCCGAGTTGGGGAGGGTTGACTCAGTGAGTCAGGGGGAAGTCAGAGTGGACAGGTGGATTGAGTCAAGCTGGACTCGCCGAGTTGTTCTTGAGACTCGACGAGTTGAGTCATGGTGGCCCCACAACTCATGCCAGGTGGAACTCATCGAGTTAGGAGAATACTCGACGTGTCAAGGGAGGATTTCAGGGAAGTCAGTGTATACGCTCAGACTCGCCGAGTCGCTATAGTGCACTCACTGAGTCCGGTCAAAGTTGACCGTTGACCGTTGACCAGTGTTGACCTAAGTTGACTTGTAGTCAACCTTAGTTGGGAAAGTGTTAATTAGAAATGTATTGTGATTTAGGAGGACTATAGCTCGGGAGATCGAGCACTAGTGATTTCAGGATTCACGACTTACGAAGACACGCAAGGTGAGTCTTATCACTATACTTTACCTTGAGTAGGTAACCAGAGTTATGTGATAGAGTATTTGTATGCTATGTATGTTATGTGTTGTACTGCATTATTTCTATGTGATTTATGCTGTGCATGTTTACACAGTTAGAACCTGAGGGTTTATAGAGTTTGGGTGCACGGACCCACAGAGTTATAGCCTCGAGTGGCTAATATGTGTTATATGTGGTATTTTGGGGAACTCACTAAGCTTTGTGCTTACAATGTTTGATGTTATTGTTTCAGGTACTAGTGACGACCGCGGGAAGGCGTCGGCTTGATCCGTACACACGCACAGAGTTTATACATTTGAGATCTTGGGATTTTGTATTTACTTGAATTGGATAACTAAATGTGGTTGTTTTATGAATATTAAATGAATTATGTTTTATAAAATTTGAAAAATTTGTTTTGAAATTTACGGTGGTACAGATTTCGTGAAAGAGTATCTTGCTTGGGGTCTATGAAACTTGTCACCATTTTTTTGCAACCATTCATTTCTCCGAATGTTTAGAATTCTCAAGTCCTCTCGTGCATTTGATGTGTCTTTGCTTTTATCATTCATTAGAAGAGTACCTAGCAAACTCTCGTCCATATTTTTCTGTACATGCGTGAGATCTATGTTGTGTTTCAACTGTAGAGAAGACCAATACTTGAGTTCGTAGAAAATGCTTCGTTTCGACCAGTTCAACTCGTAATCTTGTCGCTTTGGCTCCCTGCCTCCATGCTCAGGATGTTTACCCGATTTACGAGTTAGTAGGCGACCTAGTTGCTCTTGTATGTCATCATTACTAAAGTGTCTCGGAGTGGGTCTTGTCTCTTCCATCCCGTTGAAGTCCAACCTCTTTCTTAACGGATCATTAGCATCTAGGAAATGATGATGACTGATATATACGACTTTGTTTGTTGCACGGTATGAAGGAGTGTCTTCATTGCAAGTAGCACATGCTCTATACCCTTGCTCACTCCAACCTGATAGACTACTACGAGCTGGCCAATCGTTTATTGTCCACATCAACATAGCTCTCATCGTGAAGAATGTGTTTGTCGCCACATATTTAAACGTACGCCTGAGTTCCACAAATGTTTAAGCTCTTCCACCAACGGTCTAAGGAAAACATTCATATCCTTACCAGGAGCTTTCGGGCCTGGAATCAACAAAATCAACATGAATGATGACTCTTTCATACAAAGCCAGGGTGGAAGATTGTATGTGGTGAGTATGACCGGCCATGTGCTATGTGGATTACACATGTTTCCAAATGGATTGAAACCGTCAGCTCAAAGAACTAGGTGTATGTTACGGGGTTCACTCGAGAAGTCGGGGTATTTTTTTTTTATCAAAATCTTGCCAATATTCCCCATCAACAGGATGAAGCATCACACCATCTTCTGAACGCCTGGTACTATGCCAAATCATATTTTTGGCAGTGTGCCTCGAACAATATAAACGTCGTAGTCTAGGGGTCATAGGAAACTACCGTAACACCTTATGAGGTACTTTCTTACCCTTGGTGTTTTTATCGATCCATCGGCTCTCTTTACAAACGAAAAAAACTTGCAATGAACCGTGTTCTTTCCAAAAGAGACAACAATCGTTTTTGCACATATGTATCGACTCATACCCCAGGCCAATAGACTTTAGTTTCTTTTTGGCTAGATAATGTGAAAGGGGAACCTTGTTGCCTTTAGGAAATGCTAATTGCAACAACTCAAGGAGTTGATCAAATGAACTATCAGTCCATTTGTTGTTCACCTTGATATGCATTAACTTTGCTAGAAACTCAAGGGAAGAAAATATGCAACCAGGATACAATTGAGTTTCCATTTCTTCCAACAACTGTGCAAAATCATCATCCACACCGCTAACACTTGTATTTGAGGTTCCTTCATCAAGGTCGGTATCATTTTCTCTCGACTACCACATCACATCGTCGATTAAATCGACCATTTGGTTACTTGGCAAGACGACTGGAGGAATAAAAGATTCACCATGATAGATCCAAATTTTGTACGACTTACTGAAACCATTTATAAATATATGGCGTTCAACTGCAGTCGGGTACTTGAAGTAACGATTATCACATTTTTCACACGCACATTTGATTTTACCATTACTATCAAGGTGTGACTTCGACTTCTCGATAAAAGCTTTGAGTCATGCTTGGAACTCGGGATGGTTTCTATATAGATTAGTAGTCCAGCTTTTATCAATAGACATGATGTTGCTGAAACATAATTTTGGTATAGAGTTTAGTATACAAAATTAGCATTGTTTTTTTCCAATCCACATTTTTTTTCAATTAAAAGAAAAAAAGATAAAAATTAAAAAAATTAAATTAAAATTTTTTATTTATGCGTTTTTTAATTAATTTTAATTACAATTACTTGTAATTTATATTGGCAAAAGTTGTAAGTATTAAATATAAATATAAAACTATAGAAATATAACATTATAAGTTAATTTGAAGATTATAAATTAATTATATAACTTATTATAAATATGTTATATATTATAAATATGTTATAAATAAGTTAACTATATAACTATATAACTTAATATAAATATATTATAAATATATTATAAATATGAAATATACACATAATTTTCACATATGGTAATTTTCACACAATTTTCGCTTACAAATATCAAATTCACAAAAAATGAAATAATAGAACCTGTAGTGACGGAAATCAACCGGTAATAGCTAGAAAAACTGTTATTCACCCGATGAAACTAAAAATCCAAAACCTATAAGCCATCCAAAATGTGACAAATCACTTCAACAATATTTGCAAGGATAACATACAAATTAAATTACCAAAACTTGAAAATTTAATCAACACTTTTTCAGTGTTAACAAACAAATTAACAAGAAAATTATCAAAGAAATTTTCAAATCAAATTACCTTAATTTCTTCACGAAGTCCACTTAGAAATTGGTCACAAATCACACCTTAATCCCTAATACACTAAATATGGCATAAGATATGGAGAAATCAAGCTGGAAGAAGAAATTTGAGAAAGAACTCGGTACAAGGTGTAGAGGGGATGGAGAAGAGGGCAGCAAACAGAAAGCAAATGAGAAGAATGAACTTTTGCGTGCGTTCTTTTTTATCTGCGTCAGCCTTTAGCGGCGACATCTTTAGTGGCGACACTTATATTATTACCAGTGACTATTATCAATAGCGTCGACAATCTGGAGGGAAGGGTACCAGGTCATTTTTTTGTGTATTTAGCGACGACAATTTGAAGCTTTAGTAGCGACACATATGTCGCCGGTATTAGGTTAGTTCGGATAAGAGACCCTAACTGTTATATTGAATATTTGATCGAACGGTCTAGATGTAACGGAAGGGGAAGGTGCGGATTCGGGTGATCACCCTTTAGTGGTGACGCTATTACCGGCAACAGGGGCTTTTAGCAGCGACTTTCTCTAGAGTCATCGCTAAAGGCCCATGTCGCCGGTAATAACGTCGCAGCTAAAATGTGATTTTCTTGTAGTGAGACATCAAACGGATGACTGCAACACATTTATGCAATCTTGTAAATCATCGTCTACTTCTAGCAACATATCTTAATTAGAAACATCTATACATAAATATTTATTAAGTATGTAAAAACTTTATTTATTTTGTATAAAGATATAGTAAATATATATTAAAGTTAAAGAAACGATACTTGAAGATAATTAACTAGAGATCTCTAGACTCTAGGAGCATGATGAAAACTACATCCACTTATCAAACGATTTGGTGAACGGAATGAGGGATTAAATCAAACACCATCTCAACAATCTCAACACCAAGTCACCAACTTTTATAAATTAATGGGCTGATGTCACCAAGGTTGTGACCTTGTAGGGTTCCCTTATCATCAAAGAACTCCAGAGACGTGTACGGGTGGGATTAAGTCTTCAGTCACACTCAAAACCCTATCACAAGATTCAACTCTCCCCACTCAAACAACACGATAAGAACCCCAGTATAAATTAGAACCCTATTGTCCACCAAATTTTCCAAGTTAGTGACTCACTTCACCTGCAACAAAAGATTCTTGAGAAAGAGAGAGAAAAAAAAAAAAGAACGAAAGAAAAAACAAATGGGCCAAGAAGATGATATGATGATGTCGATGGCGATGAGGAAAGGGCCATGGACAGAGCAAGAAGATGTTCAGTTGGTTTCTTTTGTGAACATGTTTGGAGATCGACGATGGGATTTCATAGCAAAAGTTTCAGGTTTGAAGGTGGCGGGAGATACAAAAATGAAAACATAGGTAGTAATTGATTACTGTTAGGGTTAAAGGTTTTGTTGCCATGGAAATTACTTAAGAAATCTAGTAAAAGTTGTGCACTTTTATAAAAAAAAAAATCAATCTTCAAATTACTTACTTCTGTCTAACCTACCCAAATATAATTTTGGGGACTATTTTTTTGAAACTTTAATTATTCAGGTTTAAAAAGAAGTGGAAAGAGTTGCAGATTGAGATGGGTAAACTATCTACACCCAGGTCTCAAAAGAGGCAAAATGACTCCTCAAGAAGAGCGTCGAATCCTTGAGCTTCATTCTAAATGGGGCAATAGGTTCGATTTTTGATCCATTAATTTATTTATTATTATTCTATAATTACTTTCCATTTGTATGTTTGTTATTCGAAAATATATGCATATGTTTATTCCAATAAGTTTGAGAAATCTCTGATCCATATTCCAAAGTTATGATCATGAGTCGACATATTTTTTTCTTAGTTATAATCATATTCGGGAAATACGGGGTTATCATTTTTTTTGTAAATATATATTTTGTTTATCCATGATATTGATTAAGCACAAGTATATATCAACTTAGTAATTATTCTATATTCGCTTTTTTTACTTTTGTTTTAGTTCATGAACTCATAAAGCTAACCAGAATTATTCTACCATTACAAGTCGAGTTGTCTAACTTACGTTATAGACTTATATTCTTTGATAATAAAAGTATTCTTGAAAGGATTTGGCTCAGAATTCAGAAAGCATGTATGCATATTTGAATGGACTTAGTTTATATCCACTGACGTTTGATACTGAAATTATATATATATATATATATATATATATATATATATATATATATATATATATATATATATATATATATATATATATATATATATATATAAAATAAATAACTAGATATTTTGGCACTTTATATGATTCATTTCTTATACAGTATGGCGTTTAGCCGATCAGAAAACATTTATGTTAATCTTGGTTTGTTTTCCAAACATACACACAAATGTTACATAACTCGCAAATACCAAAACGAGAGTGAAGTTTATTATAATTACTGTTCAAAATAAACATATTATATCTTTCTATATTAAAAGAATTATTTTCTTATAATTTATATTTTTCATTTCAAATATTCTATAAAAATAACACTTGTTATTTTCTCATCATTTTTTTTTTTAAATATGGATGTTAATAATAAGTAAGACAACTATTTATTTAATCAAGGATTTTTAGATGATATTTAAATTCGTTTTGAATAAGTTTCGGTTTTGATTGCCGACAATTAATTATATATCTATATTAAATTATTTTCAATAAATATAGATATATATATAATTTATTAATAAATATGAGTTTTACTATAAAATATTAATTTTTTTTATAACCGGATTCCTACCGACTATAACTTAATACTTAATATAATACCAAATTAAATACTAGCTAGAAAAATGATTAACTTTTAACAGAAATTTTAAAATAATAATATAATAACTAGGAAGATGACCAAATAGTTAGTTGGAACTGAACAAGAAATGACAAAATATGTACAAGTTGTATTATCTTATTTACTTGCTTTATAAGTTAGCCATATATATTTAAAAGAATTATAAATTTATGTTTCTTTTTCTTGAGTTTATCCACAATTATTGTTGTTAATTTTGTATGTACAATGACTATTGAATTGGCGTGTAGGTGGTCAAGGATTGCTCGAAAGCTTCCAGGACGAACTGATAATGAGATTAAGAATTATTGGAGGACCCATATGAGGAAAAAGGCACAAGAACATAAAAGAGCCTTATCTCCATCTTCATCGCTCTCAGATTCATCTTCTTACTCATCAATATATACTAGCAATCATACTTTCCATTCAATGTCAATGGTGGAAACCAAAGAAAAAAGTTTCTACGACACCGGAGGGTTAGAAATGTTGACTATCACAAAGGGGGAAAGCAATAGCAATACCATTGCAAGTATTGCTACTAGTCTTAACAATAGTAGTGAGGGAGAAGATGGATACAATTCAATGGATGAAATATGGAAGAATATAGATTTATTAGAAGACGATGGTATAAGACCTATTTTTGACACGTCTAACGAAATACCACCTTCTCCAATATGGGATTACTCTCTCAACACGCTATGGATGATTGATGGCCAAGAGGAAATAGGAAGTCACATGTTTTTTCCCGACAACAAGCGAGCAATTTAGCACAAGGTTAATCGGCTAACTTAGATTTAAATCATAAATTAAATTGGTTGTTGATATTAAGATATTAAATTCAAACTCTTGTATGTCATGCTATTGAAATAATATAATAAAATCTTGTAAAAAAAAGTTCTTACTATTACTATGTATTTATCTAAAACATTTTTTAGTTAAAATCAAGGCGGACCCAATATGCAGCAAGGGATAGCATGTGCCACCTCTCAAATTTTCCCGTTAATTATAAATTAGTCTAAAATTCGTTGGAAATTCGTCAGAAATCTATCCGGAATCACTCACGAATCCATTGGAAATTTGCCACAAAGTCCAATAAGAATATCATTTGAAATATCTTACATACTTCCAAGAAATCGACTAAGAGCTTTTTTGATATACCTCTTACTAGTCCAATAGAGGTTGACTAATCATTATCATCTACATATATACTGAAGTACGCAACATAGTCAGACATATATATGTCAGACTATAAGTCTGGTGACTTATAACATAACATAATACAACATAAACATATGATACATATTTGAATTGTCATATAAGTAACCAATCATCTACATATATAGCGACTGATAATCAACTGGTCATCATCATCTCTGTTTCTTATGGGCTTTTTAGGTTATAGTAATAATTAATCAAACATGATTTTCACAATGGAATTTCACATAAACAATTATGAGCACATGCAACCTAGAAATCTATGGCTTTTCTCATGATAGAAACATACTTTGAAAACTAGTCTAACTAACCTAATGTAATCGAAAGTTAAATAAAAGAAAACATACATTTGCTTAATTCGAATTAAGCCAAACAACTCTCTTGAAAACTTTCTTAGAAAGAAAGCTCCAATAACATGGCAGCCTCTAATGTGTCACACCCAAACTCTAGAAAACCCTATGATAAAAATAATTAAAGAAATAGGAAGAAGAGTAATTTCAAAATTCTCTATAAGTTGTCTAGGGTTTTCAATCTTTCAATAGGTACCTATTTATAGTTGTAGGTAACCTTGATTTTAATATTAAAATAATAATATTTTAATCTGATTCAAATCACCTACCATATTAGCAAATGGAAATGATGGCTCCAAAAACCATCCACCATAAGGAGGTTCTATAATGCCTATCTTGTTTAAATACCGAACAATTGAACTGGAACCCTTGCACCCTTGATTAATTCTAATTAATCATTAATTAAATTAATTTTCATTAATTCGTAACTAATTACATATTACCAATTAATATATTAATCATATGATATTTTAATAAATAATTTATCTCTCTTAATATTAATCCAAGCTATTTCCTAGTTTTGAAGGCAACCTAACAAGGACTTTACTTTTATTTACTAAGAATATTTCAATTTAGTTAATACTTTATACAGTTATTCCAATAGTTTCCATGCAAGCTCTAAACATAATCTTTCCAGGGATCCCTTAATCTAACTCTTTGCATGCATAAACATACTCATTATAAAACATAACACAAGTGATGTATTTTTAACAAAAATCTTAAAATGGTGTAATTAAAAATTACATCCATACACTCACATGTTTGCACATGTTGTACATAACATAAAAATACTCTGAAAGTGAAGTATGGCTCACCTTATGTCGTGGAAATAGCAGCGTACTTCCAACTTCTCGAAAGCTTATCTTGAGAAGCTCCAAATCCTTCCCTGCTACCACCTAGAACATTTGCATACATAAAGCCTCCACTACTAGAATATAGACCTTGAATAACACACGAACCATGACACATAGTGATTTACGATACGTAAAAGCATGTGTCCTAAAAATAATGTCATCTCTTCTAAAATTTGAAGAATTTAGGACACATATTTTTGCGTTTCCTTAAAATTAGTGTCAGAACAAAAAAAAAAACACGGAGGACACTCAACATAAAAGGCGTGTTGTCTAAGCATGTTGTTTTATAAAGTTTTCATCAAACACGCATTCTCCATCTTTAATAGCTAAGGGGGAAACTCAAATCCCAAAAAATTAAAACCCCCCGCCTTATTCTCATCTTCTACCAGCCGAAAACCCATTCTCTTTTCCATGACCTAATTAATGAAGCTCTATAAATTACATGGCCGATTTGATATCTACAAATACGCTTTGAGTCAGATCTAAGCATACCTTTGCCCAAAATTCTTTAAATATGGTCCGTCTTCATCTTTTATCTACACATATGGCCCACCAGGTTTGTCATCATCTTCATCTAGGAGTTGTTCAGTTGTCCAGCGAGGTCACACAGCTTCCCAAAATAAGTCGTTGGATCAGGCTTTGCTTAAGCAGTAATCACCGGTTAGGAATTGGATGATTTCGGTTGCTGAGAGAGAAGATCAAGCTTTGCCGACCAGGATTTCTGGGCGGATTTCGATGGCTTGGTTTTTATTGGTCGACTCTATGCCGTTGTCCGTTAAATATTGCTTTCCTTTTCCTATTGCCATGACATCAACAAATGCTTTTATCCCAATTAAACTTCTTAATGAGAATACGTATTGTTCTAGTGATAGTCTTCCATTTCCAAATGACCTACAAATCTGCAACCAAAAACATTACAGCAACAAAACATGATGAGAAAATCATTAGTAGATATTTCAAAGATATTGCTATCACATTATCTCTTCGTAAACTTCTACAAAAACTGCATCTGGTCTCTTATCTCTTGATTATCTGTGTGTTCATCTTGATCTTTTCCAAAATTCAATCAGGTAAACAATGAATCACTTCAACTTCTTAAATCTTGGTTTTTTTCATTAATGATCCCATTTATTTGTTATTATATTCGGCTGATTTTAGGTTGAGGTTATTTGGGGCACACTTACTTCACTTAGTAATTCCATTTACTATTTATTGTAGTCTGTGTTTTTTTTAGTGATTCTTGTTGTCAAATTTTTGGTTACTCTAATTTTGTGGATATCTGAGCAATAACATTTTTTTAGATTCACAAAGATTGATTGTTTGTTTGTCTTGTTGAGTCCCTGAGTAGATATATTTTTCCTTCTTTTTGACCTTTCTTTTGTAAATGATTTGATCATATGCATAAATGTATACTTTTGAGCTTGGAAGTTCATTATACTTCTAATAAGATTTGTCAGCATACCTCAATAATGCTCTTTTTTTTTTTTTTTTTTTTTTTTTTTTTTTTTTTTATGTAAGTGCATAGCTAAAATCTTATAATTACCTTATCTGAAATTGAAACAAAATAATTGGTTATCAACTTTAAGGTTAACATTTCTGGAAATTATGCTTCACATATAAACTTGTTTTTACTAGAAAAAGATATATTGGTAGTTGTTGTTGGTTTTCTTTATTTTTTGTTATTTCAGATATAGGTTTTGCTGTTTTTTTTTACTATTATTAATTGTATAATAACATATATATGATTCCATATATCAGGTATGTTTGTTTTTACTGTTAGTAACTATACAATAACATATATATGATTCAATATCCTTTAATAGTTTTTATGTTGGGTTCATTGTGCAGGGCCCTAAGTTCATAATCACCAACTCTTGCTTTTGCATTGTGCTCTCTGGTTACATCAATTCAAAGGTGTTCTGGCTTGTGGTGACTTCATGAGGTAAATGACCAAAATACCCTTTACAATCAAATGGCAAGACTTTCTAAAATTTATTTTACAAAAAGTGTTTGTAATAAGTGTAGGTTGTAAAACTTGTTGGCACATGTTCCTGTACTTGGAAAATTCTCAGTCTTTTCTAGTGCTCCCTAAAGATCTGTTAGTAATGGTATGATTCAATATAATCAAATGCAAATAAAAGCAAATTGTCTGATGGTTTAGCGTTTTTTTTACTAATTTTTTTTCTCCAACAGGTTATGCGGAAGCATCAAAAGTACTTTGCCTTGATAGGCAATGAGGGAAACCTCTTACTATATTTCATTGTTGTTGCAAAAAGAAATAAGGTTGTACTCAGATTTGTTTGCTCTCCATTTTTTTCTTTTTAATTTTTTATTTATATTAACCGGTGATTTGATTAATTTCTTCAATGTGGAGCTAGATATGAAGACGCTAAATTCTTTTACGATTTGAATAATTTTTTCTTTATATTAATCGATGATTTGAGTAATTTTTCTCCATTAGGTATACACACAAGAAACTTGCAGGCTAATCAAAGGTGTACATTAGTGGTGCAGGTTGGCATGTTATCTTGCACAAATTCAAAAAACCATCTTTATATTTTTGGTCTTTCCACTTATACCCTTTTGTGATAGTTATCTTGGTAAATATCTAGATTAAGTAGCTTATTGAACGCAAGAGTCAATATTTGTTGCTAATGTTTATTCCCTTCTTGAATATCAACAGGTTCAAGTTAAAAAACATCAACTTTATTAAAGATTTCTTGACTTTAGGCAATTGAAATAAATATGATACATTATTATTTGTGTTGTAGGAATGGGCTATGAACATATAGGTAATGGGTTTTCCAGGGTACACCAACATCTACGTTCACTCTCATTCGTGTTTTACTTTCATGGTGGCCTTTATGGTTTTATTTTGTTTCAATTTTGGTTCATTGTTGTTAAATGTGACGACTAAGTTTTTTTTAAATAGGATCTTTTTACCTTAGAAGCCCAATGCTACTGGTTATTGTTGGATGTCATTTAAAAAATTCATGTAAATATTGAAAAAATGACCAATAACAGATTGTTATTGGAATATATTCTATATTTCTAAAGTACATTGCCTTTTTTGGAGTATGTTATGTTACATCAAACATGTAAGTCAATGAGACTTAATGTTTTTTTTATGAAGCTATGTTAGTGTCTTTGACTTAATGTCTATTTCATCCCTTACATCTCGTATACATCAAGATATATGCAAGATATAACTTAGTTTTTTTAGGTATGCTTGGCTAACATCTTGGATATCTATCATGAAGATTTATTCACCCTCCCTGATAAAAATTTGCCATACAATGTAGCTTCCATGACTACTAACATCTTTGGATTTGTTGGTTTATGTGAATCTAATAGTTGCATTATTCAAATTTGCAAGTCTGGTTGATGTGCAAAGTGTCATGTAAAGTAGCTCAGATGCTGTGAAGGTGGACAATAAGTTCTTTTAGTTCGACTGTTATTTGTTGATGACTTTCATCTCTTTCACATTTGATGTATTATATTTGTCTACTATTGGAACGTTTATTTGTATGAAATTAACTTTTATTCAATGGATTGTATTTTTTTGTATATGGTATTTTATTTTCTATTATGAGACATTAAATGCAAATTTAATTTGAAAATTAGAAAATCTACAAATATTTTTTTAAACATTTAAATTTACGATACGCAAAAATGTATGTCGTGTTCATTTATGACATAGCCTTTCTTGATAGGTGCTTTAATGATACGCATTTCGTGTCATAAATGCGTGCCATAATTGCGCATCGTAAGGTTAGGACATGCAAATGCGCGTCGTATTCCTTTATGACATGGCCTTCCTTGACATGCATTTGCGTGTCACCTGTACCCTTTTACGACATGCAGTGGATGTCATTAAAGGGTTTTCCTAGTAGTGCTCTCATACATGTCTTAACCCATTAAGACTTCACTTGTGATTTTAGCCAAAAACTCACATTTTGGAAAAAAAAAAGACCCTAACTTGGCCATCCTTTGCTCAAATACTTGTCAAACTACCCGAATCAAATTAATAAACACTCAATATAACTAGATTATAACATATAAACCTTGTTCATTTCCATTTCTAGTGTTTCAAAACCCTAGAATCAAATCATGGATTTCAACCATAATAACTTCATACAAACCATGGATTAAGCTTCTAAGCACTTAAATGAGCATTATTATTAAGTTTATTTGGAGAAATCTTGCATTAAAACCTCAAATCTAAAATCTACCAGTAAAGCCATCAAAAGCTTAAAAGTGAAGAAAACAACAACTACAGGAGTTTGAGATGATCTTACATAATCCAAAACAAGCCAAATCGCCACTTGAACACTTCTTAATCATCAGATCATTGGAGGATAGCTCTACTGGAAATGGGAGCCGATAATGAACAAATGAGCCCTAACATTGGTTTTTAATCATGTTCGAAACTGCACCACGACTAAGACCTCATCGTGCACAGTTGGTTAAATAAATGCGAGGTCTCCCTTTTTCCACAATGTAGTGACCATTACCAATAAAACCCCACTTTTCCCACTGTTTCGTGGCACCCATACACCACATCGCTCAACCAAAGTACATTGCATACAACTTACGATGGTGGATAACTCAAATCATCGCCTCGCTCACCACGACACGGCAAGCTCCTTAACGCGTTGTGGTGAGCCTAAATTCAACATTTATATTCCATTTTATTCCATTCAAGAAAGCGTACCATTTCTCGGATCAATATCAAACATAAGTGAATGACTTTCATTTTTCGGAAGCACCTATCTGTCTTTCGGAATTTTAAGAATCCGACCACATCTTTCAATTAAATGAATAATTTTCAATTTTAAGATTTTCATTTAATCTTGTTTAATGAAACGTCCAAGTACTTTGTCTATCGGTTATGTGATTATATTTTAATTCCAATAAACATGCTTTGGGGTGTAAAATAAGAAATTGACCAAGTGCTTTCCTGTCACATAGGAGGGTAATTATGTAACCCGCTTTTATTGCAACCCGTTTCCTAGTTGGGTGTCATCATTTCTTCTCTGACTCGACCCGAAACAAACCTACCTATAAAAGGATTTTGAATCCAAATCGTTTCCTATTTACGCTCTTTTATCTCTCTTTGCCTTAGAATTCTCTTTTTACTCTGTGTTCTTTATCCAAGCTTCAAAAACTCATCAATGGCATCCAAAGTTTCCATGTACCCTTTAAAGAAGAAATCCTCCAAAAGAACTACCTCATCTTCTTAGACTGAAGCCATTTTGAGGGACACTACTCAACTCTTTTCAATTGACCCTCAAGATTATGATGAATCTGTTCATGTGGTGATCAAATATCCCATCGTTATTCAACTCACTAAAGTTCCAAACCCTAATTTCCCTATGTAATTATTATATAAAGCATTCAAGAGAGTGAACATTGACAATGATGTTCTTGAGTTCTACATCACAAATTATAGGATCGTTCCTATCACAAAAGAAACCTTCCTCAAGGCCATTGGGGTTTCCTTAATCCTGAGGATTTCCAAGTTGTGTTGAACTCACTCCTAAAAATTTCAAGAGTTCTTGACTCAGTTTGGCTTCAAAGGGGAGTACAAGTCCAATGAATTCAAGAAATTAGTATTTTCTGGCATGTAGACGATATTAATGTTTATGATCATGAAGAGTCTCTCCAACAAGCATGGAGTCTCACACTCCATGATAAAAGGCTGGTTGTATATTGTTTACAACATCTTCACGGGAAGAACAAACATCGTTAATCTGCTTGAAGTCTTGTGTCAAGACTTTCAGAAATTTGTGGTTCGTTGGAAAAATAGTGAGATTTAAAGTCCGAGGTTTTGGGCGATGGCACTTCACTAATTTTCTTCGGACAGACAAGAACCAGTTCCTCTGATGATGGATCCGCCTACGGTATATTGTTCTTTTAAAGTTATAAAATCTTATAAACTTTCAAATAATAACTTCTTTGGACCCATCTGATGTCTCCCATAACACATGTTGGACTCTATTCCTACTGACTCTCCTTTTAAGAAACATCATCTTGAAGTTTTGGTTTTAGTTGACCCACTATATCATGCCCTAACTTCAGAGGTTAACCCATCGGAAAAGAATAGACATGTCACTTATAGTGCTCAGGTCAAGATGCCTGCCAAGAAGCAAAATATTTCCCCTTCAAAATCCAAATCCATAAAGATATCCAAAAACAATGCTTCCTCTCAACAGGATCCCTTGATTGGTTTCTGACCTAACATTGGGTCTCTACCTACCCAACCAACCCATTCTTCCAGAGCACCCTTCGAAGTCTCAATATCATAGGCACACACTCATGGGGATTCTACACATAATCTACCCCCACCGTCCCAAAAGGGTGATGTTGGCATTGAACAAAGTACATTGGAGCCACCTAGAATACACTCACGAGTCTCTTTTAAGCATTTTCCTTCTACACTAGCATGATCTATGGCTTCCTCCATAGATCTTTAGCTTTCCGAACTCAGAGTTGTCCTTTCAATTTTAGAAGCCCCAACCGAACTGATACCCACCACGAGTAAAGGAGTTTTGGGTGCTACCAACTTGGATTGGAATGATTTTATTGACAGTGCTCATATCATACATCCAGATCTCACACGAGATCAAATTGAGTACACCTTGACTGGAATGCGACTTAGAGTGATCACTATATCATTCCAAAGGATATATAGATTTTGATGCTTATATTTTTTTACATCAATACTAATCTTAACGTTTTCAATGATGTTCCTAATCCACTAGGTGATCCATCGCCAAATGTTACAGTCAATATTCCAAGTGCATATGTGCTCAATCCTAAGAAAATTTCGGATGAGCCTCCTCGGAAGGTTGTTGCTGGTGAAGAACCTAGTGCAAATGTTCCCGATAAAACTCCTTCAGATGATACTCCTCAGTCCAATCAAGAAGAAAAAGGAGATGTTTCTGAATGCACTCTATTGTTGGATGATCCTCCTAACGATACATATGATGAAGTTAGATTTCAAATCATGTTTGATGATACAAACATTAAGATCTCCAATGTTCTTCCTTCAAGTTCAAAGTTTCAGTTCCATCAAGCTTCATCCTTAAAACCCTAAATTGAATTTGACTCCCAATCATTTTCCGATGTCATGGACATGGATGATGGTGGAGATGACGATCAAGTGAAAGCACCTATAGCTGGTGGTGTTAATCCTAATGATAATGGGGATGATAAAGATCAATAATGGAGGAATTTAAGCGAAGGGTCCAGTTCTGATACTGGATTATGGGATGAGAATATATCAGATCCCTTTGCTCTCTTTGTGATGCGTGAAAATATTGAGAGTGTTGATGCTAAGGTTGAAATTGTCAATGCTCAAGTTGGAGCTATGGGCTCAAAACTAGATTTCATTATTGAATCCATTTTCGATGTCATGTATGCCACCCCGTCCATTCAAAACTGAGAACAACAGCTTGACCAGTTAATCTCGCTCTGAATCAAGCACTCAATAGAAGAGTCCAAACAACTCTACTCCAATCTTATCGAACATGACGAAGACACTGTTCGGAAAATGCCTACATTTCACGTTGAGATAGTCAAGGCAACAAACGAGCTTGTTAAGCAAACCCTTGTCCGAAATGAGAAGAAGATTCAACACTTGGAAAGAGAAATCCACTTAAAGAACATATTGAACCTCATCTTACAGCAGTTCCTCATCAAAGTTATTTGGCCTGCCCAACATTTCGTGGACGTTCCAAATTACAAATTTGATGAAGTCCTTCAAATCATTTTAGACATCGTTGACACTGTGAAAGCTCAAGCCCTACTGTTCATGTCAATGACAAGCTCTCCAAGATGGTCAATCTCAGCTCTAGAAGGTTTATGACATGATTAACGAGATCAAGGGAACAATGTTGCTTGCACCGACGATAGGGACTTCCGATGCAAGAGGGGGAGAAATCTTTGTGACAAGCTGGAAGAGAAGCTCAGATTTTCAACTCCGGTATGAAACCACCGACTAGGAAGAAGGTGAAGAAATGTATGTGGATGAAAAAGTCTTTCTGGCAATCCAGTTTGTGAATGAGCCACCCTCTTTCAGAAAAACCATTTCCGATGAAGAAAAAAAGAATTGGTCTTCCTGGCCATCAATTTTGGTTGATTCCTTCAAGCACAACAGGGAGATGGAAAACATCAAAATGAAGCTAATTTTTTATGCTTTTCGAGTGACTCAATCGATGCCACCTATAATCCCTTCTCCCAAGATTGTTCAAATCAATGAAGTATCCCCAATCAATAATGATGATGATCTTCCTACCCCGTAACTGGCCTTACCAATTTCCGAAGTGATTATGACTCTAGTTGCCCAGTAAATTATTCAATTCACCCCTGGAGCTTCAATCAAAGATAGACGGAAAGGACTTACATTCTCCTAAATTAGACCAGTGAAACTGTTGAAAAAGTTTGAGGGTTGGTCTCAAGACCAAATCAATGAAGCTATAGCGAAAAGTCTTCGGATCCAAGATTTAAAGAATTCATTGAATCCTATGATTGGAATCTCTCCATATTATTTGGAACGAAGACTGTAAGAAAATCAGATGGTTCCATTTGTGAGTTATGCTCTTTTGTCTTTTGATTTTGAACAGCTTGATCTGTCAATGTCTCCCCATGGAAGATATTATGTGAAGTTTACTCCACTACATCCATTCGGCGATCACGAAATTATTGTTAGGACTGACAGAGAACGCATGGTTGCCTTCTACTCCACTAATTCTCTTTCTAAGAAATAACCTTGATTAAAATGAAGAATTACACAAATTAGTAGATGTGGAATGAAAGTGATAAGAAATTCGGAAAAGATTGCATTCTTTACAACTACTACATCAAACAGAAATCTTTGAAGAAGATCACAATATATGATTCTGAATTTCCGATTATCGACCCCAACTACGTTCCTATGATAGTTGCTTATCTTTAGGACAAGCAAACTTCTGAACTTGGCATTAGAGCTTACAATGTTGCTCTAAAATTTCTAAAAGACTATATTGTTGAATTGTATCATTCAGATGTTGAGTTTGCGCCTTTCATCGGAACTAAGAAGCTCCATGCTCCGATTAACACAAAGCTTGAAGAAGTTGATCTACTCAATGAATTCATATCACAGATCTAGAGCTTAAATATGTGTACAATAAGAAGAAATCGATCAAGAAGGAATTTTTTAGAGTTAGGAAAAAACATTTGGTTCACACCAATGTGCTTCAGAAAATCATCTCTAAATATACCAAGTCTCAATCATCCAAAGAAGTAAAGCAAGAAATGATTAAGCAACTCACATGGTGGATTGAAGTTAGAAGTTAGTTTCACAAGGCATATTTGTTCTCCTTTGGAGACAAGATGTAAAGGCTCGTTGATTTCCAAGGTCACTTAGTGGGAGTTGTTAGTTCAAGTCAAGTGATCCTTAGGCAATCAAAGTTACCAAGATTCCAAGATGACTATAGATATAAAGTAGTTTACTTTCAAGTTGTTTGAGATTTCAAGTTGAATTGAAGACTGGGTGATCTGATATTAGTATTATTTTTTCATTTTGTGTTATGTCTTATTAGATGTAACGCATGTAGGTGACAAGGTCAACCACAACAATATGTCAGGTGGTTGATCTGCAGTTAAATTTTAGTACAAGTGTCTGATGTGTGTATAATGCACTAGTTTTAATCCTGCTAATTTAAACCAAAATAAACACACGAAAGGCAGTGTACCTATCGATTATCAATATAGTTCAAGCAAGTAGGGTATCGAACACATGGAACGGTAATAATTAAGATTAACTACTAGAATTACCTAAATAAAAACAAATAATAAGAGATGATTTTCTTTAGTTTTGCAAGACTAGAAACTTAAATAAGCAAATACCACGTAAACAAAACAGTTAACAACTAAAGAGAATAGAAGGTAACTAGATTTAATAATATAAAAGACTTATGTTCAGATTCGACTCATTTATTCCTATGGTTGATTCATGGAAAGGGCAATGGATTAATATATCATTGGCTACTGATTTATAATGTGATTAGGTTCATGTTCACTATTACTAAACCTTAGCAAACGGGTTAATTCAAAAAGTGGCCCATTGATTAAACTAACAAGTTTCCTAGTGTTGAGTTCAGATCAAGTAAGACTTGTAATATTAGTTAACTAAATTTATCAATTCAATTAACTTGTGTATGGTTGTTCATCACACATGCTTACACATTAATTTACTTATTTTATATCTAACTGTAACGACCCGTTCCCGGTATGTTAATTCATTGGTAATTGTTGTGAGTTTTGCAAGAGGGACTCGGCGAGTTCATAGCCTGACTCGCCGAGTAGGGTCGCGTCTGCGAGCACGCGTGAGCCGGGGACTCGGCGAGTCCATATCCTGGACTCGGCGAGTCCATCCGTCTGGGTGAAACCCTAAATCCCCGGGTTGCCCACTATTTAAACCACCTTATAGCCCCCTTTCTCGCCTCCCTCACCCTGAGAACACAGTGAGAAAACCCTAATCCTCCCTTGAGAGCTTATAAGTGTTTTGGTGCCATTTTGTGAAGGTGTGAAGAAGGAGAAGAAGAAAGAAGCAAGGAGAAGAGTTATAGTGCAAAGATCCAAGGGCAAATTTGAGTTAATTGAGGTATTTTCGGAGTTCCCTTCTTGTTATATGCTTTAAACTTCCATTAGAGCAGAGCTAGTTGATGCTTGTTCCAAGCCTTATATTTGCATGAATGTCTTAATAAGTCGAGATATCTTTGGATCTTAATGATGGGGTGTTGTAGAGCCCAGATCTACTGTCTTTTTGGAGTTACTTTGCATATTAACCATAGATCTACCCATTTTATGCACCTTTTAGCCTTATTTCCCTTATTCATGAGGTTGTGCACGTAAAGTTGGAAACTTTACGTGGTAAATCAGCTTATTGGACTCAGATCTATCAATTGTATGTGTTGGATTCAAACAAAATCGAGTAAAAATCAGTTGCATGGCGGCAACTCGGCGAGTCGGGAAGAACGACTCGGCGAGTTGGGTCGCGAGTTCCCGAGTCCTTCAGTTTTATCAGTGTCGAGTGGACGAGGTGAGTTAGGGAGTGGACTCAGCGAGTTGAGAGTAGACTCAGTGATGGAGGGACTCGGCGAGTTGTTCATACAACTCGGCGAGTCCAAGGCAATCTTCTTAGGATCAAGAACAACTCGCCGAGTTTGTTCATACGGCTCGGCGAGTCGGATGAAGATTGTCTAAGTTCTTGGATCAAGAGGGTACTCGTCGAGTCGATGCCACACTCGACGAGTAGCAGCGTGTAGAACTGAGAAGTGAGAGTAGGACTCGGCGAGTTGGGTGGCCCAACTCGGCGAGTCAGCCCAAAGAGAGTTGACTTTAACCAAGGGTAAAAGAGTCATTTTACCCCAAGTGCAGTGTTTAGTATTTGATTGAGTGTGTTTATGGACTTAATAGCCGAGGAGATTCAGGAGCAGCAGCCGTTAGCTTCCCGAGCCACACACTCATCAGCCAGCTTACGAGGTGAGTTTCCTTCGAGTAGGGACGGGTCTAAGGCCACAATGTCGGCCCGTCCAGTTAGCAGTAGTTACCGGACTTCGGTCCGATGTAGTAGTTGGTATGTTTGAGGGCCTTCGTGGCTCAGACAGGATTTATGTGTTATGTGTTATGTGTTCCGGGCTACGGCCCGATGTAGTATGCAGTATCTGTGTTCATGCTAATTGATATGCTATGCTATGTTCAGTCAGTTCCGGGCTTCGGTCCGATGCAGGGGACAAGGTCCCAGATAGTTCCGGACTTCGGTCCGATGCAGTTAGTTCCGGACTTCGGTCCGATGCAGGGGACAAGGTCCCAGTTAGTTCCGGATTTCGGTCCGATGCAGTTAGTTCCGGACTTTGGTCCGATGCAGGGGACAAGGTCTCAGTCAGTTCCGGACTTCGGTCCGATGCAATTTCCGGGCTTCGGCCCGATGCAGTGGGCGGGGCCCAATATGTGTTTATATGTTATTGTATGGTATGTGGTATTTTGGGGGAGCTCACTAAGCTTCGTGCTTACAGTTTCAGTTTTGGTTTCAGGTACTTCCGCAAGCAAAGGGAAGAGCTCGAGGTGACAACATCGCACACACCACAGCTTAGCTTTTATTCTGGGGGATGGTTTTAGTTGTTTTGGATTTGATGTAGTATGATACAGTTTTCCGCACAGTATTTATTATGATTTGGAAATACATCACGTATGTTTTTATGATATGATACTCATATTATGGTTTTGATTATATTGAAAAACGAAAATTTTTGGGTCGTTTCAAGTTGGTATCAGAGCCCTGGTTTGAGGGATTCGGATACACTTCCGGGTGTATCTGAACTCAAACTAAGGGAAATAAAAGATTTTAGTAAAATAAAAATGTTTTACAAAAAGAATTTTGAAAGCACTTAGAAAGAAAGAATCGTTTTTAACAAAATAGAGGTGTGTGCATGCGGTCAGCCGAGCTCAAGTAAGTACTCCCAAATTACCCATACAAGTTATTTATTCAGTTTCAGTTTCAGTAGAACAGCATGCTAGTATAGGACTAAGGATCTAGGAGAATGCCTTATGTGCCTGCTTATGTGTTACAACTTTATGAGTATTGCATGCTAGAATTGAGTAGACAGCAGTAGGATAGCCTGTTTAGGTTATGCCTGATAGTATGAGCTTAGCATCCTATGCTAGTGCAGATTCTTGTTATAAGAATAGTTTTGCTTGAGTCTGTTTCCCTTATCCGAATGCTGCTTGCTTCGTGCTTGGTGGGGTTCTGAGTAATGGGAGTTAGCCATTAGGTGAACACGTCACACCACATGTAATCAGGTTTGAATAATCCCAGAGTGCTGGAACTGGCCCTATTACGCAGCTCTTGTTTGAGTCCAACCGTTGTAGGGACGGATCTTTTACTTGAAGGATTATCTGATCCTCATCACATGTGATGGTGTTTAGGTGGTGGCTAACTGGCATTATGAGGAGACCTACAGCAGCTGAGGACCAGTCGTGTTGAGCTTGAGTTTTTCCCTAGGGCAAGCCTAGGATAAGAGTAGCAGAGAATAGTAGTAGTAGAAGTGACTTGGTGGAGTCAATGCAGTTCTTGAGGAAAGTACGGATAGATGTGGAAGGTAGTATGGGCCCGTACTACTGAAAGCAGAGGATCCGTACTCGAATCAAGGAAGGCCAAGACAAGACCAGGAAGCTAGTAGTAGTATCATGATCCCTTGAGATATTTCAGTGTTCTGATGTTGTTATATGTTTCAGAATGGTAGTTTTGCATCCGAGACCA